CGTCCGTCTTCTCGTCTCGGGTGTAGGGTCTAGGGTTTTCAATCAGGGTTTTGCGTGGAATAGTCAATGTCACACCGAAAACCAGAGCTGTGGCGAGGATGCCAATGCAGACTGCGCGGCTGCAATGACAGTGATTGAAAGCGAATATGGAGAAGGAGACTGACAGCGAGAGCAAAATCCAAAAGGCTCCACACCCAGAGGAACTCTAATACCCTAAAACCTGGTCACAATGATATAGAGACTATAACGGGATCCGACCCCTTTGGTTACAGCCTCGAAGCGCACTGGGACGGGAATTGTTCTCGTGCTCCACGGTGTGAGGGGATGGAACACAAGCTCCTGCAAGCTTTGCATGGGTTTAGGGTTGAGGAGTTTGGGAGTTTAGAGCTTAGGGTTAAAGAGTTTGGGTGCTGTCTGGGAGTTTATTTTCGTAAGATCTGTGGGTCGGGATTGAAATCTTGATGGCTCATGGGACCTCTTGTGAAAAAATGTCCGCTAAGCCCCAAATCCGAAACCTGCGGGTTCGGTCTTTCGGGGGCCTGCACCAGGGGCTCCCTCCAGCGATCTCGAGCATCTAGCCTTGGAGCGAGGGGCCGTGGGCACTTCGCTTGGGGGGTCTTGCGGTTTAGGGCTGAAAGGGCCAAGCCCAGTAGAGCTTTGGGGATTTGGGGTCTAGGCACGTTTGGGGCTGAGGGCTTAGGCTTAGAGCTTAGGCTTTCGAAGTGGACCGACGTTCTTCCGGGCCCCCAGCGCCGGCCGCAACCATCGGCCACTCAGCCTGTAAGGAGGGGCGAGTTGGAGGTCCTGCCAGCGATCAGGCCCCGTTTAGGGCTGAGGGATTTAAGGTTAGGGTTTAGGGTTTAGGCTTTAGGGTTTATAATGGGATTCGGATTGAGCTTCGGGATTTAAGGTTTAGGGTCCGGGTCTAGGGTTTACGCAAACATCCTGCGGAGCCTGCTTGCCTTTCACCCAAAGCCAAATACAAGCCCACTTCATATCTAGCTCAACCCAAAAGTGATTCAATCAGGCCGGGAAGACTGGCACATTACCATCATCCGGAATGAAGAGTGCTTGCTCCTGGACAGGACGAACCTTACTTTGGAAGACGCACACACGGCAAAATATATCAATCAAACCCTGGAGCAACCTTGGCAGCTCAAGCGGTGACCCTAAATCCTAAACCCTGGACCCCTTTCCCCTAAACCCCAAATCTAAACCCCTAAACCCTAAACCCTAAACCCTAAACCCTATAGGCCCTAGACCCCAAGCCCGAACATATCGACCCCAAGTCATCCGAAGGCTCTCTGGGCCCTGCTGGGCTCCTCGGAGAGAGATTCGCTGGGACCTGGCAACTCCTTGGCGCCGAGTTGTGGCAGACGCCCAACAGGGGTAGGGGTTAGGGTTGTTTTTTGGGGGTTTAGGGTTTAGGGTTTAGGGTTTACATAGGGTGTAAGGTGTACCTAGACTTAAATCTTTCAATAGGGGCAGGTTTCAATAGTTTACATTGCTCTGCCTGTTTGGTCCGTGAGAATGACGGAAGGTTGTACCACCACAGGAAGCTACACGAAGCATGGGGCTCGATGGCATTTCTTGCCTAGGTCTCGGAGGACGCTGCAGCAACCGAGGCTATGCTACTTGGAGGTTCATGGTTAGTTACAATTGGGGGTTATAAGTCCCCTAATTTGGGTTATAATTAGAGTTACCCTACTTAGAACCCTACTTATAACTACCCATGAACCTCCAAACCCTAGACCCTAAACCCTAAACCCTAAACCCCATAGAACCCTTTAAAGGAACCCCTTATAGCTACCCATGGACCTCCAAGTAGAGGCCTTCCAACAAGCTCCAAGGCTGGGCCGCCCGCCCAAGGGCCGCCAGTTCGACCGGCGGCCTTTCGAAACCAGAGCGGTTTAGGGTTTAGGGTTTAGGGTTTAGGGTTTAGGGTTTAGGGGAGGGGCTTCGAACATCCTAGAGGTCCTAGAACGGTGAATATGGGAGTTTCCGAAAATTAGGGTACCTTATTTTGGGGGTCCTTATCATAAGGATCCTACTATTTAGCTGAAACTCCCATATGGCACTTCTTGGGCGTGGACTCGCCGAGCTGCCCCAAAGAGAGTGCCACTGCGCGAGTCTGCCTCGCAGTCTCTCTCGGCCTCTTCCATGCCGAGGCCCCGGGGTTTCTTCCACGAGGCCCAGGCTTCGCTCTCTGCCTCGCCATGGGGCCTGAGGAAGCCAGGGCTCCACTTACGACGAGTACGCCCCCAAAATAATATAAGTAACTATTGAGGCCCCTATATTAGGGCTTTGGTTTAATAATATCAGGCTTTTGGGAGCAACCGTGGACTGCAGACTGCTGTGGACCCCACGCTGGCTCCACCCTCCAGCGTCCCAGCTCCCAGGGAGCGATCTCCACAGGCATGAGCCTGGGGAATGAGACGAGGACGCTGCCCGAACATGCGAAGCTCGCCCTTACCGTAGGGGCACAGCCCGGAGCTGGATGCCATTTGGAAGATCAAGCAGGCGACTGCGACCTAGCAACTGTGGTCCGGAAATGGAACATCGCAGGGGCTGCATTGGCATCTGCACATATCTGCTGTACACGCAAGGCATCTGGCTCCAACGCAGCTGGCCAGCTTTCCAAGCTCCACACCTGGCACTTCGTGCTCTCACGCCGAAGGGACGCTCGGCCAGCGGCCAGGGCCCCGGCATCTCCGCCGATAGCGACCCAGCATCCCAAGGGTGCGCAGCACAGGATCCCGATAGCCCTCGCCCAAACGACAAGCACTCTAAACTAACCTGACAGCACAGCATAGCAACCCGGGACCGAGAATGTCTTGGAGGGGCTGTGGGTGCCTGTCCGCAGATTGGGCACACGGGGGACTGATTTCGGCGGATCCATTCTGCCGCGCAGGCACCTCAGACTCGCAGCTTGAGACTTCTGTGCCAGACGAACTGTGGCTACCGAACTGCGGTGTCGCATGCCGGGCTGCCAACGATGCACATACGCCATGCTGCCAGAACAACCTAAGTGTTTGCGTCCGCATGGCTGTAGGGCTCATCGTCCTAGCCTTGCTGAGGCCCAACCGCAGGGCTGCAGCAGCTCTCCGTCCTTCGAGTTTAGCAAGCCAAACAAACAAGTTCTGAGCAGCAGTTCGGGCTCTTGCACTGGCTGTGTCCTCGCTTCCACCACCGCAGATGCGGCACTCCGGCTCCTCGGTCTCCTCCATGTCCGGCGCATTCTCGGCTGCCGCGACCCCGGATGCCTCCTTCTCTGGCTCTTCCGGCTCCCCGGACTCTTCTGCTTCTGCTCGGTCCTGTCGGTCCTGTCCACTGGGACGACTCCGCAAGGCCCGGAGCCGCGAGGCCATGCCGGAATACTCGGCACGCACAGCCCGAGGCACTCCGGGCAGCATGAAGCCATCGGGGGTCTTCGCGGCCAGCTCCCGGCATCGCTGCTCGGCCTTCGCAGCATCCTGCAGCAAGACGGCGAGCGCCACTTCCGCGAGCTCCCGAGGCATTGGAGGAGACTCCCCAACCTCCGGAGCCGTCTCCTCGTCTTCCGCCGCTTCCGGCTTCTGGGCGACGCGATGACTGCAGTGCTCCAGAAGGCCCAGGACGGCAACTCTCAGGGTCTCATGTCTCAAGTAGGCATTGTAATCTTCAGGGTTGCTCATGATCATCACGCCGGGCTCGTTCAGGGCCGGCTGGTCATTCATCAGAGCCTGTAGCTGAAGCAAAACCACCCTTAGAGTGAAGGATGGATTCCAGCCCGGACCTGGCCAGGTATGCAAAATGGACAGACAGACCTTCCCAGATGTATAAAATTGCGGGTTGAAGCGGACTGTCCCCTGGCCCGTGGTCATTAGCCGCGCGAGGGGTGCCTCATGCGGATAGTTCGCCTTCGCGTAAAGCACGAAGTGGAAGAGTCCCCCTTCGTAGGGTGTGCCATCGGGGCCCCGGACCAAAGCGTGAACCAACGTCGCGTAATTCTCGTCCGGCCAGACATTCACGCCCGGCAGGGGATCCTCCTTAAAGCCCGCGATCTCCGAGGCCAGTCGCCGCAGGCAGGCAGCAGAGGGCTTGTGCAGGATCTGCCGGGCAGCAACGGTCACCGGGTCCCAGTCCATGGGCCCCAGGGGCCCCGAAGAGGACCCCGAAGAGGCCGAGGAACCGCCTTCCGAGCCATTCATGGGCGCCGGCTCCATGGCTCAAAAAGCACCTACCTTCTCTAGATCAGCTCTTGGTTTCAATTTTCAATGCAGTTTTGGGTAGGATGAGTTTTTAGCCCCGGAGGGCCAGGATAGTTGCCCTAAACGCTCTGGCAACGAAGCGCGTGTGACCAGACGGGACTTAGATGCTACTGTAGGAGGAGTGCCGGCATCTGGACGTAGAAGGGGTGGATGCTAGAGCGACACATGCCTGTCTTCGGCAGTTCTACCATGGCTACATAGCTGTCTGTATTGTCGATGCGGCTTCATTAACACTGAGCCGGCAGCAGGGAACGAAGGATCGGAGGTGCTTTACGCCTGTTTGAACTTGTGTTTCGCCTAGGGTGTTCGTCATTCCGCGGCAGATCCACCCAAAGACCTGGCATCATGGAGAAGGCTGAGCCCTTGAATTCTGCAACCCGAGGTGATTTAGGTTAGCTGGTGCAAAGCTCTCTTCTTTACAGACTTTACAGACTTCTGCGCAGCTGCGATGCAACTCCAAAGCAGCTGTAGGCGGGGCTGTTGCTCCCGGCCTCTCGAATTTTCACAAGAGAACGCTGTGTGGCCGTCTTGGCTTGCCATGACAGCCGTGGGCAGTGCCAAGGTGCAATGCGCCACGTCGCGCACCTGGCTCCCTGCGAGCTGCCAAACTGCAGGGCACAGAGAGCCGGAAAGGAGATGCGAGACTTCACAGCGACAGACGGTCTTGCAAAGACAAAAGAACAAACAGGCGCCACACTGTGCGGTTCGCCTTCATGCCCGCCATTCGGCTCTCCAAGCCTGAGTGGCAATTCAGAATGCCTGGTCTCCGACATCCTTCTCCGACTTGATTGGAGCTGTCTCAGTGGGCTTCCCCTTCAGTAGCGTCACTCGAGCCCACTCCACGACCCGCATCGTTGGATCCAGACGCCGCTGGGGATGATTCACTTTCTCCGCGAAGGCCAAAGGCGCAAGGAACATCACAACGATGCCCAGGAGAAGGCCTAGCCAACCTGGAAAGAGGAAGGAGGCCGGAAGGTAGCCGATGAGAATCGCCACAACGGCAACGAACAGCGCGTAGGGAAGCTGTGTCACAACGTGGTGGCGGAGGTCACACTTGGTAGCCATGGAAGAGAGGATCGTGGTGTCCGAGATGGCAGTTGCGTGGTCTCCAAAAACGGATCCCGCCAAAATGGCAGAGACAACCAGCACGAAGATTTCTTGGTCTCCGTTCGAGCTGATCCACGCCGCTGGCAAGACAAGTGGGAACATGATGGACATGGTGCCCCAAGAGGTGCCAGTGCAGAAAGACATCAGCGAGGAGATCAAGAACGTAAGAGTCGGCAAGGAGCGATAGTCCAAGGAATCTGATGAGAACACGCTGGCAAAGAAGAGGTCGCACGAGACATCCTTGACCGCGGCACCAATGCCCCAGGCCATGAGCAGCACCAACACTGGAGCTGTGAGGCCCTTCACGCCTTCGATCCACACATCCAAGGATTCCTTGAAGTTGAGGATGGGCCGGGGCGCCTCGGCGTCATCTCCATCGATCTGCATGCGAAAATCACAGGACACCCAGTGCTTCCATTGATTGTAGATCTCGCCCTTGTACTGATACTGCAAACGGATGAAGACCCAGGTGACTACGCTCCCGATGAATCCTCCCCAGAGAAGGGCAGAGTAAGAGTCCCCGTTGCCGAACAAGTTCTCTGCAGTCATCTCCTGGCCACCATCCACCGTGGTGTTGTAGCCAGTGACCAGCAGGGCAGCGAACACAGCAATCAGAGTCGAGAGAATCGGCACCACGCTGTTCCACCACAACTTGGGCGTGCTCTCCGATGGCTCCATGGAGGAATCGAGAGTCACCTCACTCTCCTTGGCGGTGGGCGAAATGACCTGCTTGTTGTCCACGGCACGGCGTTCTGCCTGAAGCATTGGGCCAGCGTCGCGCTGGAAGATAATCAGGCTCAGCTGGAAGACGAGCATGAAGATGGGATAGTACCTTTAGGGTTGGGTATGTGGGCTATAGCACTTAGAACAGGACTTCTATAAAGGGTTCATTTACGGGTTCCTTTAGGACTTCTATAAAGGGTTCATTTACGGGTTCCTTTTAAGGGATCGATCGTAACTAGACTCTAGGTTCCACCTGCTTGCCAGAGAGGACAGGAAGATGCCATAGCCGCTCGTGAGGCCGGCTTCGGCCAGGGCATCGGTGTAGCCCAAGCCCTTCAAGGTCTCCAGCTGATCGTTGATGAGGCCAACCTTTAGGGTTTAGGGTTTAGGGTTTAGGGTTTAGGGTTTAGGGTTTAGAAAAGCTCACAGAAAGCTTCCGTCTGCCTCTTGTAAGCCTTGTAAGCCCGGAGCCTCAAAGCCAATCCAGGAGGAGATTGGAGCCAAGGAAGCAATCGGCGCAGTGGTGGCATCCACGAGGAAGGCGAGCTTCTCTCGGCTGACGAAGAAAGCATCAGAGATGCCTCAAAAGAGAGCATCACAGGATATCACTCGCATGGACCGCTGGGCACACGAAAGCAAGCACACCTCCCTGCCCTTCGGCCTCGCATGGTGTTGCCGAGAATCAGCGTGTTCGCATAATCATCGAAGAAGATCACAAAGCCCAGAAGATACACTGCTAGTTGGACGCCACGTCGCGTCGAGATGCGCTTCAGCATGATGTTGGCAATGCCATGGCCACCGCCCGACTTCTGCACAACTGCCACGAGTCCAGCGAGGAACCAGGAGAAAAGAATGACGAAGGCGTGACCAGAATCTGCCAGAGAGTTCACCAAGTATGTGTCCAGTGTCCTCAGGAATGCATCGAAGATGTTCCCCTGATGGACGATGGCCCCGGCCACGAACAACCCGACCCACAGTGCCCACAGCACCTCCTGAGTCAATCCGGCCACGAGAACGACGAAGAGGGGCGGCAGCAGGGACACGAAGCCGGAGATCACCCACGCATCGTATGTCCCCGAGGAAGCTCCAAGAAAGTCTGCGGAGTATGCAACATCCACCGTTAGCTCATGAGTGCCCACTTCGTTGAGCACGAGGTCACTGAGGGTGAGTGACGTCCTGAGCTCATCGCCGGAATAGAGGGGGTAGGTCTTCACGCCAGAGACGGACTGACTGCCTTTCTGAACGCGCACGTAGATGCTGCTCCCAGCAGCCAGGTTGTCACCGGAAGGGTAGCTCAAAGCAAGGTCCAGCTGAAAACCCACTCCCTCAAGGATTGTGGGTCGACTTCCCTTGACGGTGAAGCTTGGGGCAGCCGAAGACAAGGCTGCGCAACCCAGCAGCAGCACAGGGTACCGAGCCATGTTGACGGCAATGGCTTGCGTTTTCACTGCAACTTGAGGCTGCACAGGCACTCACAGCAGCAGCTTTAAGACGGCAGCTGTCTGCGAGAGGCTTTCCAAGTCGCCCCCAGTTGCTAGCTGTGGGTCCTGTCTTTTCGATCACCGCAATGCCTCGACGAATCCTTGCAGGCGCGCTATGCTTGGATGACTTTGATCATTCGCCAAGCCGAGATCAATATAGGAGCCTCGATAGCGGAGAAAATCCTGTTGTTCCGTTCACATTCATGTGCCATACTAACACTAATACGGCATAGAATAACTCTCGACATAGCCCACTTCTTGTGGCCCCTAGATGGATCCCCTCATGGATCCCGACGAACGCCGGTGTGCTGCTTCGCAGTACCACCGCGCTCGCGGCCCCAACGGTCGTTAACGGTTTAGGGCTCAGGGTTGAGGGTCCGTTCTGCTGATGAGCGTACCAGGAGGCATAGAATCATAACGATCAGCAGCAACTGCGAGACTGACACACATAGTCGTGATCCTAAAGTTCTGGATTTACGGTTTAGGAATCCTAAATCCTGGACCCTAAACCCTAAACCCAAATCCTGAACCCTAAATCCCAACCCATGAAGCCTCACAGAAATGCCCCCTGGGAGGTTGTCGTCATGTCTCGGCCTGTCAGAGCCGAGAAGGAATTGAGGGAGTTAGGGTTGCTTGAAGGACTTCAGTAGGGGCACTATTCGGGTACTGTAACGGCGCCATAGGTCGGGAAGCTTGTCAGTGTGCACTCAAACCCTTGCGTGGTAAGGACCTACTCTTCTGGGTGCCATGACGTGTAGGGTTTAGGTTTAGGCAATTTAGGAGTTCAAGCGTGTAGCGTCTGCTGAAGTCGGGTCGGATTTTTGGGTGTTCTGGTGTAGCTTACGGATTGGGGACTTGGAATGGGTCATCCTCGCAAGAAGACTCCGCGCCTCCACAACTTTTTCTGCAATTTCGACTGCGCCCACTGAACACCACCAGCAGCCTCCACAATGTGCAATCATGCGGCATGGCTTTCTTGGAATTCGAGATGCTCATGGAATTCGAGATGCTCAGCCCTAAACCATCCTAAACCCCCAAACCCCTGAACCCTAAACTCTAAACCCTAAACCCCGAAACCCTAAACCCGTTCTCCCAATGCCTAGGCGGTTGAGCAAGCTGTCGATCATGCCGCGCCCAAGGAACGTGGCGCTCCGCTCCACGGCTGCCTCAGCTCCAGAACTTCGAATCGTTCACGACAAAGAAGGGTTTAGGGTTTAGGGTTTAGGGTTTAGGGTTTAGGGCACAGACCAATCTGTAGATGAATGGAAAGATGGATAGGAACGACATGACCACATGATCCCCCAAAACCCCTACAACACAGAAGGCCGCCTGTCCGGACGCAGACTGAGAGAATATGTAATTGAACACAACAGAAAAAGCAAATGGAACTGAAAGAAACCCTAGTTGCAGTATATAATATAATATAATATAATATAATATAATATCATATCATATCATATCATATCATATAAATATAATATCATATCATATAATAAAATATAATATAATATAATATAATATAATATGATATAATATAATATAATATAATATAATATAATATCATATCATATCATATAAATATAATATCATATCATATAATATAATATAATATAATATAATATAATATAATATAATATAATATAATATAATATAATATAATATATTATATTATCCGCCGACCCCGCTGGGGCGGCGCCCAGAAGCTAGATGTGGTTTT